TTTTTTCATGAAAAAAGTGTGCCTTTGCACAAAAAAGGTTGAAAAACACTGCTTTAGGGAGCTTGCAGAGTGCTCCTGGGGTGTGGTGGTGGCAAAAACAAGCAAAAAACAGCCCATTTTTTGTGAAAACGGGCCTGTTTTTCGTTAAAAGGGGGGGGGCATGGATAGCCTATAAGAAGCTTATAGAGTGCTCCTGGGGGCTGGGCGGCCGGGGAAGGGGTAAAATTGAGCAAAAAACCAGGCTGCCCTCCCCAGCCCCTAGGAGCTCTCTACAAGCCTCATACACGCTCTGCACGGCCATTTTGGTGAAGGGGGCAGGGTTTGGGGAGGTAAAAATAATGCTGTATTCAGTGTATAATACACATCCAGATGTTTAGCCTCTTTTTTGAGGGAAAAAGGTGCTTATACTCTTATACTCCTCAAAATACGGTATGACCTCCAAGTCTACTGATTGTATTATTGTATTGTATTACCATCTCAGATGTCAAACAGGCAGCCAGGTAATTATAACCCTATGCAGTAGCTTCTTCCCTTGGCTCAGGCTTTGTAGACACGCATAGTTTTAAATAGTGTTCAAAAATTAAGCCTTGGAAACTATCTAATATTAAATATTTTAACTGAAAGTTTTAATTTCATTCACTAAATGTTTATTTCTGTAAGTGACATTGGGGATATAATCATAAGAGAGAATGTTATATCTTGTCAGAATTTTAAGTTAAAGATTAATTCTTATTTAGATCTAGGTAAGCTTTAGTTGAGAAAAAAATAATGGAAATGTTTTTACTCTATAAGTAAAACTATAACTATAACTATAAACTATGTCATTTATTTCCTGTATCTTTTTGTGTGCTGCCTTCATGTCAGCAGAGTCCCTTTTCCTGGTTAACAAGAGTTTCTAAGGATAAGAATCCATTCCTTAATAACAACGTTTCTTCTAATTTTCTAAAGGCTTCCCGATATGAGATTTTAAAAGCTCTGAGTCATTCTCTCCCTTTGGCGCATGATGTGGATTTTCAGTATTTGGCAGCAAAAACTGAGCATTTCACTGGGGCAGATTTAAAAGCTTTATTATACAATGCCCAATTAGAAGCAGTGCATGCTAACTTGAACTCAACTTTGCCCCACGTAAGTATGTAGAAATGTAAAAACTTTCCTTAGCCTTTGGTTTATAATTAAATATTATTTTGACTTCCCTGCACTGTAAAATAGTTATGAACTCGAGGTTAGTATTGTAAACTTTTGGCTTTGAAAAACAAATTTCCCACACATTTCTATAGAAATTCCAATGATTTAAAAACTTCACTCATAACTATTTTGTTATTGAATATTGTTCCATCAATAGACCAGTGTTTTTCAACCTTTTTTGTGCAANTACAAATAAAATAAATCTAAATCTAATCTAAATCTACTTAGAATCAAAACAAATATTTGTATACTGGATTCTGCCCCTGCATTCTTCCTGGATTTTTGCCTTTCAACCACTGGAAGTTTGCCTTCATTCCTCAGGCTGCTTGCTTTTTGTTTGAAAACTCATGTTTGACCTCTAGCTTGCTTTCTGAATATACATTTAATTAACTGTTCAGTTGCTTCTGATGAGGATTTTTGCATTTCTGCCAGATTGATATGCTTAAAAGCTGGATAGTCTCTAGGTACACCCAATTAATAAGGGGGAAATATTACACATATTTAAGATGTAATTTTCATTTAAACTTGAAATTTTTTTTCTATATTGCTTGAAATTACTATTAAAATTTAAGCATACAATACAATTGAGCATATCCTCCAGTGATTATTAATCATATCACCCATATTCACATGTTCATAATGCTTACAAGATTATCATTATCTAGAGTTTATAAATTGAGGTTGCAAGTATCCAGACCATTAGATAGCAGCAAAGAAAGATAAAAAACTTTTTCTTAATTCTCTATGGTTTTCTAATGGTTATCTGTATTCCGGCAGCCCAGCACTTGTAATCTTATATTATTAGTATGTAGAAAGATAAGGAGTGTGCTGTTTTTAACAGCATCTGCTCTAAACTGGTTTAACTGCTATGTTAAGAATTCAGTGCTTTTGAATTAAACAAGCACATTGCTTAAATGCATTCTAATTTATTCTTTCCTTGTACAAGAACTAACGTGTATATAATAAGAGTTCTTTCAATTCAACACTAATGCAAACTAGTCACCAAATGAAGTACATCTGCCCTAGTATGAATTACTTTCATTGAAAATGTATTAACTGCCCTTTTAGGTATATCATATAATCCTAATATAAACCAATAATAACATTCACTAATCATCTATAGGAGATAATCAAGCAGAGCCCGAGGGGAAGAGTCAAGCATGTCATCAGTTTAGAGTCCCATTGTGCCCACAAGAGATCTAAGCCAGACCGCTTTGAATTCCATTGACTCTTATCTACCTCCAATTTGCCTTGACCATTAGTAGTTCAGATTTTTGTTTAGAGCAGGGGTAGTCAACCTTTTTATACCTACCGCCCACTTTTGTATCTCTGTTAGTAGTAAAATTTTCTAACCGCCCACTGGTTCCACAGNCGCAGAACTAGGTTCCCCTGCTTTGCAGGGCCAATTAAAGGCAGGGAAGATTAGGAGAAAGCTAGATTTGAAAATAGCCAATTTCTATATTTTTTGTGAAATTAAGTTGAGGAGAGCAATTAGCACAGTCAGTCCTAATCAAACTGAGTCTAAAAATGCTTGCAAAGGTTTTTATATAAAATCAGTAAATGCTGAACATTTGAATTGTTTCTAATTAAAACCTAGTTCATGCTAATTTAAGATATTTCTGTTTGATATACCTTTTATGTGTGATTTGATAAGATTCTAAAGGCAATTTTTAAGATTATTAAAGTAGAATTAGCAATTGAAACCGAAGGAGCAAAAGCACAACATACAAGGAAAGGGGTAAAAAATAAAACGCTTAAGATCAAACACAGGCATATGTATTTAATGTTTATTATATTCATATGGTTTTTATGTTTTATTATGGATTGGGATTTAATTCTTGGAAGGTGCCTGAATTTGCTATAAGCTAGGTAGCTACGTATATAAATGTGCTAGATGGGTGGGTGGGTGGGTGGTGGTTGATGCATGGATGGATGGACAGGGAGACAGAGAGAATATTTTATCACCTAGTCCAAAGCTTAGCAGGGAGGGAGTAGACTATCATTTCTTAGGGAGGAGATCATATATTCTAGGAGGTTCTAATTTTATTTATTTTCTCCTCAGGAGATAGGTTCCAGCTCAGATAGTGATCTTAGTCTATCTTCAATGGTTTTCTTAAATCAAAGTAGTGGATCAGATGATTCTGGCAGAGATGGAGAAGGAGGCTTGGAACAATCATTAACTTCCCTTGAGCTGTGTGATCTGCTTCCTGAGGATCCAAGATCTAACATCTATCGCCTTTACTTTGGCAGTTCCTATGAATCTGAACTTGGCAATGGGACTGCTTCAGAAATGGTAAACTTTCCCACTTTGCTTAATTGCTTGTTAAAAATCATACAATTGATTTGGAAGGAACATTTAATTTAGCCAAATGAAATTCAGGTTTCTTTTTGGGAGTGGTAAAATAAATAAAAATAATTCCATGTGTATAAACTCAGCAGAAGGCAATTTGAGTTTGCTTCTCTGGCTCGGTACTTGTTCAAAGAATTTTGTATTCCACTCAACACTTAGCATTGTTGTGACCAAAAAGTTGCATATTTTAAAAATCAGTAGACCCTTTTGTACTTCTCCTCCTCAGCTTCTATTTCGTTTTTAAAAAGAAAGCTCTGCATTGAATCTGTTTCCCTGAATGATTGGTTGAAAAATGATAAGACTAGTGATTCAGATATAGAACATACAGTATATCAAATACAACAGGGGTCCTAACCCCCAGGCCGTGGTCTGCTGGAAACTGGGCTACAGAAGCAGCAGACAAGCATCCGCAGCTCTATTTGCACAAGCGGCAAGTATGCGCACAAATCCATCCCTTCCCCACCCCCACTGCCCATCCACAGCCACAAAGATTAGCCTGAAATACAATTAGGATTGATCTTTTCATAGATGCTTGTGCTATACAACGAAAATAGAAAAAGAATGCTCTGTACAAAAACTGTGATTAAAAATGTGGATACTACTATGCATGTGATACAAGTTTATTCCAAACTAGCAGACAATAATATTAACACCTCTAAATGAACAGATAGTACTAATACATGTAAATTTCATTATAGACTTTTAAGTAAATTTAAAATCTTGATCAACCATCTTTGTTAGCCATCACTTAGTTCTATCCAACGCTTTTATGAGCCAAGGTGGCGCAGTGGTTAAATGCAGCACTGCAGGCTACTGCTAGATCAGCAG